CACATTTATTACCAGTGAGGTACATGCTCTGGCAGTTTCTTTGCTTCAGATTGTCTTATTTAGCACATCTAAAGATTTGAGAACAAATGACAAAAGACATGGTGATAACTTGTTGGGCTTTTCTAAAGATTCAGAAGTTCTAGAGTATCTGCCAGTGACAGATGGTCTGTCCTTTCTCAGGGCTTGTCTTCCTGACAAGATTTGATTCCCCTCCCCCCCCACCCCGCCTTCCGTCATTTTGCTCATACACCTAAAGGAAGTTCAGATTCTGGGGAGGTTGATAGTCTCATTAGTTGTAACTACATTACTGTATATCACTGTGGTAGCAACTCTACCTGAACATGCGCCATGCTTGGTTACTAATTGTTAGTTACTAATATCCACACATATAGCATGGTATAAGAGGGAAAGAGAAACAAATTACCAAGGAAAATTCATACTTCCTCTCTTCCTGTTATTTTGATAACCAAACACACTAGAATCCCCATTGGATAGTTGTTTTCTTCTTGTTACTTTCTTTTAATAGTCTAGGCATAATGTGATGTTTTCAGCACTGTTTTTTATCATTATGATAATAAAATATATGTTGTTTTTAGGACCTTCAGTATTTCTTAGCAAACTATTTTTTTTTATTTTGGCTCAAAATGTACAATCACTGCTTACTAACTTACTAAACCTTTATGAGAATCCACAGATTGAGACAACTATAACAATGATGTGCTTAGATATAAAATAGGTTCCCACTGACAAAAAGGAAAATTTCAAGTTGTTGAATCTCTTTCATTGGCTTCAAATGTGTTTCCTGATTAACTTACTAAGAGATGTGCTACTTAGGGGAGGAGGATGGGGGAAAGGAAACAGTTTTCCCTGTTTGAGTTCTAATGTAACTGTGGAGGCAAATACATGGTTTCAAAAATTCTAGAATGTCTTCCAATCGCTTCTTAATCCTTTACTCAAGACTAACTTAATTATTCCAGCTAGTAATACCACTAGTTCAATTTAGCATTACTTAGGCTGAAGTGTACCAAGTGGAAAGAGATTAATATTACTAAAAGATGTAAATATTATCAGATATATTCATTTGGGATTTACATAGTTGGTCTTTGTTATCTACACAAGTAGCTGAGAATTTCTTTCTTTTCTTTTTCTTTTTTTTGAATTCTCACCGGAGGATATTTTTCGATTGATTTTTAGAGATAGTGGAAGAGAGAGGGAAAGACAGAGAGAAATATCGATGTGAGAGAAACACATTGATTGGTTGCCTCCTTCACACTTCCTAACCAGGCCCCAGGCTGGGTAGAAGCCTGCAACCGAGGTACTTGCCTTTGACCAAAATCGAGCCTGGGACCCTTTGGTCTGCAGGCCAATGCTCTCTATCCACTGAGCCAAACCTGCTAGGGCCAGTAATTTCTTTTTTATGTAAATAAGTCTCTCCTAAGCATGCTCACTATAGTAGCTCACTTTGCTAATATGTGAAAACAATAAACATTATTGCTCTTTTGTACCTTTTAACTCCACTATAATTTTACATGATATATATATATATATATATATATATATATATATCCAATAGTACATTTTATGTAATATAACCAGTTGTACAATATATATCTAATATAGGCAAGGCATATAGGTATAGGAGTTTACCTACTCCTATATCTATATTAGTCATTTAAGTGAAGGGACTCAAAACCTACTGGGTTTCCAAGATGTAGGCTATTGACCTCCCTGTCATTTTTTAATGACCCTTATTAAATGCTCCTTTCATAACAGATATCAGTTACTTTTTAAATTAGTACCTGTTTCACATTGCTCACTTTTAGAAACATTCAATTATAAACAATCAGAGAACTCATGCCAGTTCATTGGTTATGCGTGAAGATGTTAACCCTGACCCAAGGCAATTATATTCCTCTTTTAGTGGGCAGTTCCTCAGATAATGAATGAGAGCCTTAACTGCCTATGTACAACCTAGCAATACAGTTTTCAAAGATCCTTTAAAACATGGTGTCACACTAACACATGGATTTTAGTTTTGTATACATGTATATTGGGGTATATAATTAAAGGGATGAGAGATCCAACTTTTCATTTTTATATACCTTTTCCCTATAATATGCTTTCCTTCCCCAAAGAAAAGTGGACTTGCAAAAAAAAAAGTCCTGCATATTCACTATGTATGAAACGGACAACAACTATTGCATGGTTTTGAAATCATGCCTGTATAAAATCACATACATTAAAATTACTCTAATGAGTTTGTTTATTGAAATTTGTTAGGGCTAGAAAAATTGCATAGCTGAGATTAATAAAAAAGAATTGCATTATATAAGATATGCTAAATTATTCCAACAAGTAGGCCCAAAATGTAATAATGTCTCCACAGAACAGAGGTTTATTTCAGGGTTAGTGCAATACCACGTCAGGGAATGGGGATTGGTGTCTGCTCCATGAACTCACACTATTGTGATAAATGGTTTATTTTTTTTAATGCAGTAATGTGTTAATAATTTTCCTTGTTTCAAATTTGTACTGCCAGATGTCTCATATGTTAGTACTCATGAGTAAAACCAAAGACAGGAGTGAGAGAAGATGATTTCCCTGCTCACAGTGTGCAAGGGAGGGTGGTCCAGAGAGTGGAATCTGGGATTCGATATTTGAAACACAAGATTGAACCTGTGACACTATACTTTTTCATGCTCTTGCCTGAAAGTTCATTTCCAACAAGAGAGTGAGAAAGACGAGTAAGTTTTATGGACTAGACAAATTGCCAGTAAGTTCCCATTGTAACTCTTACCTTCTACTTATTTCATAAATTCAGTTGGACAAAATACCATTTTACTTATTAAGTTTTACAGGTTAATGCAGAGTTCCCATAGCCTGAATTTTGCTTAATCTGGCTACCTGGTATAGATTACTTAAATAGAAACAATTTAAACTAAATTGAGTCATCTCTTCACTCTACTATTATATGGCTTCCGAAGTACATTCAATCTATATCTTGGCTTTCATTACTCTTCTCTCTGAATTCTCCCTATCTTCATGCTTTAGTCATTTTTCTTTATCTATACCTGATTTCATTTCATGCAGAGAACTATTTTTCTTATACTTGAGTCTTTGGTTTGTATGCCTTTAAGTTTTTATGGAATTCCCACTAATTTTCTAACACTGTTTATTGTTAGTAAATTACTAATGATTTATTTGTCACTGACACAGTGTAAGAAAAATAATCATAAAATTAGGAAGAAAGGCTGTAATTACTGGAGTAAAGTGATTTTATATTTTTTTAGCTAAAATTAAAAACTTCCCTGGATCATACTTTCTACATTAAGTATCGCATATAAGTGGAGCATGCATATATTTCAAAAAATGATAGTAATGATATAACTCAAATAGATAACATATCCTAACTTCTATGATAATATATTATCTTTACATATCAGTAATATTATAGGGGCCAATGTGCTGTATTTTGAAATCATAACATTTACACCAAAATTAAAAAACATTCTGAAAATAATTCTGTACTTTGAAAAAACATCACATTTCATAAGAAATATATTTGCAATTGCATTTCTTGTGCTTGAATACATCTTTCCATAGGCATTTCTCAATAGGACAAAGACTGACCACCAAAATACAATGCACACTCACTTCCTAGCATTTCCTTGCTATTTATTAGAAAGCATCTTTATTTAAAACCCAATCTTTGGGTATTATTGCTGAAAATAATGGAATAATCTCTTAAAAAAACACTCTTGCCCATTACAGTAGGTCCTCTGGTTACGTCGGAGATCCGTTCCTAAGGCGACGTAACAAGATTTTCGCCTTAAGTCGGAACCTACCTACATAAGCACCTGTCACTCACATGGAGCACATACACAGCAGTAATGAAGGGAAACAGTAAAAAAAATTTAAAAGAAAGGTAATAATTCCTGACCTTTACTTGTGGTAATAAATACTAAAAAACAAAGCACATATGACATACATTGAAATGACGGAACTTTTTTTTTTTATAAATAAATGGGAGATGGCGATGTAACCACGAAATGACTTACATCGAGTCCGACGTAACCTGAGGACTGTCTGTTAATGCCTATATGCCTCTTGCTTTAAATCATAATAACATGTCTTAGAATGTGTATGATAAGATTAGATAGAATGGAAATTCCATACAAAAACTAACTTTACTACAGACACACACACACAGAGACAGACACACACACACACACACACACACACACACACACACACACACACGCACGCACGCCTTTCTGTTTTGGCCTAAGCCAAGGATAGTTTAGAATCAATTTACCCAAAGTTAGTCAGCCAATATTGTTACCTATACATTGTTTGCTTTTACATATGTTTTATTTTTGTTCACGTTATTAGCAGTTTGAAAGCCACTGAAATTACCCACCTGTAACGTAATGCTAATATAATGTTTATTGCTTTTAGCCTTTACATTCAGCTACTTCAACAAATGGATCTCTTTAGAATACATGCGCAAAGCTTTTCAGAACATAGAGCAGTTTACTTTATCAAGACAAGAGCAAGCTTATACACGGGGAAGTGTTAGAAGATAAGAATGCTAAGCTAGATTGTAGAGGGGTAGTACTTAGATATTTATTAGGTGGATAACAGCAAGCCATCAATGTTTATTTGGAATAGGAAGTGCAATTCAAACTCCACTCTCAGTTAAATCACTATACAGTATCATAATATTTTTTAGTTGAAACCTATGTTTTTCTAGGCTTTTGATGAAGTGTATTTTCAAATTTTAATTAGCAAGTCTATAATGCCTCTATACATCAAACACCAATGCTTAATCCACAGTTCTTTGGTAACACTTTTCCATCATCAATTGAATAGCAACTTTTCTAACATATAATTTATTTATTTACTTATTTTTTATTTTATTTTTTCAAAGTACATCCTTTTGGTTTGGTTTATTTTTCATAATTAATACTGACTGATAGCTGGTTTGTTTTCTGTTCTAGGTTGTGGAGACTAATTTGGTTGCTTTTGACTGTCACTGGATCATTATAAATGAGGTAAAACCAACTAAATATTATTGTCAACTCTGGGTCCTGTTTTTATATGTATAGTCAGAGCATTTCCTCTGGCCTTGAATGTCTAAGTGGAAACAAACACAAAGTAAATGTTCATCTTACTGAGTGGATTCTGTTAAATAAAAATAGGATAAGAAGGGTCTTTTTTAAAATTATGAAGGGCTTTGTATGAATAAAATAAATGGAGAATGTCTTCCCCACTGAGTATCTTTTAGTCCTTTCCGTTGGAACACAGTGCTTGCTTCGGGAGATTATCTTTACAAAAAGTACAGTTCCTCTTTGTAAGTGAATTCCTCCCAGTGGAGTGTTTGTGTTCCTTTTATATTGTAATATTGTTTCTAGAATTTTTATATCTACTCCCCTTAAGTAGTTCAGCATATTAATATGAATAAACAAAAACAGATTTTTTCTTTTCATAAAGGAATACAACTGTTTTAAAATCCATCAAGTTGTTAAATTCCTTGTGAAAGTTTTTTTTTTTTACTTTTGTAACAACAATACATATGATTAAAAAGGCATTACAATATGAGAGCCTGTGCAATTCGTTTCCATTAGCACCTGCCTGTCACATTTTGAAAAGGACAATGAGCAGGTAAGTTATGGATAAATAATGAGATCATGTGGATTCGGCCTCAACAAAACCTAGCATTAAATAAGTTATATTGCTTATGGATAAAAATAATGTATTATTTATCACTAGATACTACATATTGAATTATAGAATAATAAATTTTGTTGCAGGGAAAAATAGCATTTTGGGTAAGACTTCCGGTTTTGCAGTCAGCAAGATCGGATCAATCCTTCCTCTAAAATTGGTTAGCTATGTTACTTTGGATATATACTATAAAGCATCCTGTTCCTCAAATGTTTCACTTGTACAGTAACTATAATAACATTTACTTTACTAGTTCATAATAAAAATTAAGTGAGATATTTATCTAGTAATTTTAACACAGTGCCTCAATAAGTGATTGTAGTACATTTAAGTTCAAAGATTATATTCTTACACATTATTTTGTTGAGTAGTATACATTACTTTATGAGGTACTGAGGGAATGAGGTTCATAGAGAGTAAATGAGTTGCCTTTTTTTTCCATAGAAAAATGAAAATGATTTCCAGTTTCAAATTGTTTTTCCAACACCACGCTTCATTGATGGACACATTCTTTTTAGCTCAGTAAGAAAAAAACACATAAATCTGTAAACATTTTGCAAATCTGTTTGGGTTGGCCAAACGTTATGATTTAAAATTATATTTTTAAATTTTAAATCAAGATCTGTGTGGTTTTTTTTTTGTAGGGCGCGGCTATAGGGTTAAGCCTCGAACTGACCTGTTGGCAAAGCCACAAACAAGTCCCAGCATAGAGGGCACAGTCCTCTTAGCATAATTAGGCTTGACCTTATGACTCTCCCTAGATCCTTCCTGGGTAGCTAATGGGCTGTGGGAGGTGCAGCAAGTGCTGCCAAAACAAGTGAAACTCACAAGAACAGTGTAACTATGGTGACCACTACCTTGTTTACCTCTGGCTATAAAATAAAGGCTCAGCTTGCCTCTGGATCTCTCTCTGTGGCCTCAGCCAGGCACAGGAAGATCCACCTAGACCCAGCTTATTCTCTCTGTCATTTCTTCATCCTTCACTGCCCCCACTCAGGCTTGTGAACCCCTTTTTTTTTTTCTAAAATTCCCACAGGTAACATGTATGTGTGAGATCTGCTTTTCAATGAAGTTTTGATATTTTCAAATTTTGTAATGCCCCTTAATTTTCATCTAGAATCCTATATAATAAACCCTAATATGCAAATCAACTGAATGGCAAAACAACTGGTCACTGTGACATGCACTGACCACCAGGGGGCAGACGTTCAATGCAGGAGCTGCCCCCTGGTGGTCAGTGCACTTCCACAGGGGGAGCACTACTAGGCCAGAAGCCGGGCTCACAGCTGGCGAGCACAGCGGCAGTGGCAGGAGCCTCTCGCGCCTCCGCGGCAGCGCTAAGGAACACGGCACAGGTCAGGTTGAGGAACCTTCCTACCCCAGTGCATGAATGTTGTGCACTGGGTCTCTGGTGACTAAATATCAAGATAGAGGGAAGAGAAAGGGAAGCTTACCAAACTTGCAGGATAACATTTTACATTAGATATTTCACTTTTACTTTTCTGCAAGGTTCAAAGAAATAGAAAATTTGCCAAATATTACACAGCTATTAAGTAGTAATAATAGGATTCAAAACAGCATTTTCCAGTCTAAAGCTTTGGTTGCTTTTGCTTTGTTTTCTTTTCCTTTTGTAAAAATAACTTTCCTTATAGATTATATATTTGAAATGCCTGCTACCTTAACTTTAACCTTAAGGGAGCCAATTATTTTATTATTTTTTCTTAATTTAATTATTTCCTTAATTACTATTTTTTTAAAAAATAGAGAATCCTTCTAAAATAGAGAATCCTTCTGTTTTCTTTTTCTGTTTGTTTGTTTGTTTGTTTTCTCACAACCACCTCTGATGTGGAATTGATCATACAGATTTCCCAATGTGAAACACATTGGAGTAATTTTATTTGTTCATGTCAATAGAGTTGTCTAGGAAGTAAAAGTGATATATTGCCTCCCTAGAGACATTGATTAATCAAACTAGTTAATACTTATAATCATTAAATGGAAATGCCCATTCTCTTTTATTCTTTGACTAGAGGCCTGGTGCACGGATTCAGCACTGGTGTGAAACCAGCTCTCTCACACCCCCTGAGGGTCCCAGATTGTGAGAGGGCACAGGCCAGGCTTAGGTACCCCACCGGTGCACCATTGAGGCTGGAGAGGGACCGCAGGAGGGCTCCAGGGCATGTCCAGCCCAACTTGCCCAGTCCCAATCAGCTGGATCTCAGCAGCAAACTAACCTACCGGTCAGAGCATCTGTCCCATGGTGGTCAGTGCGCATCATAATGGCTGGTTGAACAGCGAACGGTCGGACACTTAGCATATTAGGCTTTTATTATATAGGATTAGATCAAAGAAGTAACCCCTGAATTAATTATTTTTTCTATACCTAATGGAACTGATGAAATTAAACCTGAATCTTAAAAGTGTGAATCATGTAAAGCTCCCTAGAACACCAGTGGTCATCTACATACTATTTAAGGTGTCAATTTTCACTGTGGAAGAAATCACTCCTCCATGCTATATATGTGCAGTCTGACTGAGTAGACTGGCAAGCATGTCACTCATGGTGAATATGGAAATAATAACAATTATACTTTAATATATCTTTCATAAATATTATGGCTCATGTTGTTAAAGTTATTAAATCTTATTACATAAATTCTTAGGAGGGCAAATGCTATCTTTAAATGGAGTTTAATAATTTGAGCCATAATTTTGGAAATAAACACATAAACAAAGCAATCTAACCAGCAAATAACTCAATAAATGTTAGAAGTATAGAAGACCTCAATTATTTTTTTTTCTCCTTTACAATTGGGTCTTCTATTGTGATAATCTAATCTAATAAAAGACAAACATGCAAATTGACCATACCTTTGCTATGCCTTAAGCCAAGCCCACCAGCCAATCAGAGCAACTATATGCAAATTAACCCAACTAAGATGGCGGCCGGAAGCCACGGAGCTGGAGCAAGCAGGAGGCTTGGTTGCTCCAGTGATGGAGGAAGCCAAGCTTCC